TTCCAACATCCATCCATCATCCATCCATCCATCCATCCATCCATCCATCCATCCATCCATCCATCCATCCATCCATCCATCCATCCATCCATCCATCCATCCATCCATCCATCCATCCATCCATCCATCCATCCATCCATCCATCCATCCATCCATCCATCCATCCATCCATCCATCCATCCATCCATCCATCCATCCATCCATCCATCCATCCATCCATCCAGAGCAGGGAGGTTCAGACATCTCTTTCCACAGCCTCCTCTTCTAGCACTTCTGGGAGGACTCGAAGGTCTTCCCAGACCAGCTGAGAAACCTGGTCTTCACAGCATGTCCTAGGTCTCCTTCATGTGTGACATGTCTGGAAAACCTCCCCAGGGAGTCATCCACAGAGCATCCTTACCAGATGCCTGAACACCTCGACTGGCTCCTCTCAATGTGGAGGAGCAGCGACTCTACTCTGAGTCTTTCCTGGATAACTGAATCCATCCATCCATTATCTTTACCTGCTTATTCCATTTTTGGGTCACGGGGGTCGCCGGTGCCCATGTCCAGCAATCACTGTGCGAAGGGTGGGGTACATCCTGGACGGGTCGCAAGTCCATCACAGGGCCACATAGAGACAAACAAGACAAAAAACCATTCCCGCTCTCACTCACACCTAGGGACAATTTAGAGTTACTAGTCAGCCTAGCATGCATGTTTTTGGTCTGTGGGAGGAAACCAGAGCACCCGGAGAAAACCCACGCATGCACGGAGAGAACATGCAAACTCCACCCAGAAAGGCCCCTGGACCGGGGTTTGAGCCAAGGACCTGCTCACTGAGAGGCAGCAGCTCTACCACTTGCGCCACCGTGCTGCCCCGGATAACTGAATGTTAGCTGAAAATTAAAACCATAGATCATGAATCTTTTGTATAGTGCACTACAGAGAGTTTCTCTCTCATAAGGGACAATGTTCTGGGTCAGTCTAACCAAAAGCCATGGCCCCGGCACAGACTTCATGGAGTCAGTAATTACTGTCTATGTGGGCTCACATATAATTTGTCTCATTTCTTTCATATTTGGTGGTGATAAGACCTCACAACATGCATATCATTCCAATACTAGCAACACCCCTCACACTTTGACAGCAGCAGCTGCAGACAAGAGAAGTGGAATGTGAGAAACCTTGACACCCACCTCTATGAAAGCAACAACAGCTGCACCAATCCCTCTGTGGATCTCATGCCATTCCCCTCAAAAAGGGGGTGTGAGATTGTAAAATGGAAAAATAGGAGCCAACAGCAAATTATTGTAAATTCTACAGCAACCATTTGTTCCTCCGGGTCTTTCTCACCCTCGAGTTGGAGAGTTCCTCGGTCTTCATTTCTTGACGTGTGGCAGAACTTTCTGAGTCCACAGCATAAAAACATAGGAGCGTAGTCTGGTAGTTTACAAGTTACGATCAAAAAGTGGAAGAAAAGTAAAACAGACGTATTGTTTAACAAAGTAAATCTCATAATGGGATTAAGAGGAGCTGAAACCAAAGAGCGCTTGAAAAATCACAGCTTGTTTTAACATTCTACATCTTAAAAAACAAACAAAAAAAACCCTTTCTTTTGATTTCTTCGCTTTCGTCCAGCTCCGTTTGATTTTCCCCTCTTGATCTTCTGAGCAGATGAGCTCGTTGCCTCCATCCACACAGAAACCGCTCTGCTTTAACCAGACTTTGATCCGTCTGGCTGCAGCTAACAAGTCGTTCCTCCTTCAAGTGTTTGAGCTGGAAATGAAACCTTTTGATCTCTTTCTTCTTTAAGTTGAACTTGTTCGAGGCCAGAGGGTGGGGGGTGGGGGCTTTGTCCAGAAGCAGGCAGAGTTTTGACAGGTTCTGCACGAGGCTGCTTCTTTAAACTATTCTCCACGTTAAACAGCGAAGACACATTTCAGATAATCAACCTTAAGTTAAGAGAAACCAGGTTTTCCATTCTGAGGCAAGAGGCGAGTGAAACTCTGAGTCTGTCACCATGGCAACAAACCCTGAAATAAATTTATTTCACAGAGATTGTTGCCATGGTGACAGACTCAGAGTTTCAACCTGCCAGTTTGTGGATTACAGTCAGAGTTTGATGGATCTCAGATCATGTTTTAGTTACAATCGTTACTTTTACACAAAAACAGAAGAAAAATTGTTTTTATTTTGTGAAAAGTGAACAATCAGAACAGATGAGCCACAGCTGTAAAACCTGCAGGCCGAGGTTCTGAAGCCCCAGTTGTTGACAAGAACTGTGCGATGAAGTCTGGTCCAGATTATCCATCCATCCATCCATCCATCCATCCATCCATCCATCCATCCATC